AAAAAAAAAAAAAAAAAAAAAAAATATTCCGACGAACTGATAACCTCCTCCTTTTTTGGAAGTCGGTTAAAAAAAGTCATAATATTTATACACACGGGATAACAACAACATATGTGTAAATTATTTGAAAATAAAATAATCATTGATATTAATTTTAAAACGTTCTCTACATGAGTAAAGGTCGACATAATTACAAATGGAGTTACATAGGCAAATGGATCTGCGAATGGGCTCATTGTTAGCAAATTTCGTTTTACGCGTTGGTACGTAAAAAATGTGTTTTTCTCTTTGAAGCCTCCGGCGCATAAAAAGGCAGAAACGAAAGTAGTTCTGGGGAATCGATTTTGTTATCGCATATATCCTTGATGAAAAGAATACTAAAAATGTTTCACCTATTAGCAAGGTATTGTAAATTCAGTATTCTGCATCTCAGTTCGTAAGATGGCAAGATTCATAGGAAAACATGCGTCGAAGGGCAAATTTAGTAAAACGCCTCTGAACTCTTTCTATGCGGTCAGAGTGAGTGACAAAATCTGAGTCCCAAATAATGCACGCGTATTCCAAAATAGACCTCACCAAGCATGTAAAAAGACTTAAGTGTGAGTCATTCCCACGACAGCCGGTTCTACGTACCGGAATGACTCGGGTTTCACCCGACCAAGGGCTGTTGTTTCGGCGATCTAACCCCGTCTAGATCGGCGATACCCATTAATCATTATCCGTCCATGGAGCAATACCTTGCAGCCGGATTGCTCCGCATCCTTCTTCTCCGGGCAGGCGTAGAGCCCAACCCCGGACCTGAAATTTACTTCTGCTGTGTTTGCCAGAATCGACTCCACCCGAACTCCACTTCGGTTAGGTGCAACTCCTGCAACGGGTGGAGTCACCTAAGAACCTGCTCTGGCCTTAGGTCTCACCGGGAGTGGACCACAAACTTTGTGGCTCCCTGTTGCTCAAGCCAAATGGCACAATCAGCCTCCACGGCTACCCACTCGCGTAATGCACGGGTGCGACCTAGCACCCGAAGAGCCTGCACGGCCCCTAGAAGCTCCCCTGAGCAACAGNCCGGCTATGTTCTGGTCTACGCACCACTCGCGAATGGACTACAAACTACAGCGCCCCTTGCTGTAGTGCTCCGCCGGCGCAGACAACAACGCCCATATCGCAGCCACCTTCCATCAGGCTGCAACAGCAACTGCGTCAGGCGCAACAGGCCCAAGGTAG